ATTTTTTGCAGACCAAATAAATTGCATAAATCTTTTCCGTCTGCTAAATTTTTTGCTAACCAAACTTTTGGCATTTGGCCTGTGGCCCTGAAATCTATAGAAAGATGGCTTTTTCTTCATATCCAAGTGAAATAATATTTGAAATTTTAGTTTTCTAATCTGTCATTCATGGCTTAACCAAGTGAAATGACAAATTTCACTAAAAATGAACGATTTTTAGTGGAAAATCGTTCATTTTTCGAAGAATTTGTGCCCAAATTTTTGGTCGCCTAATGAGTTCAAATTTTCTGCCCAAATTTTTCGGGCTCAAATAAATTGTGCTCAATATAATGGCACACAAATTTTTGGGAACTAAGGTAATTGCAAAACTGACTTCGCTCAAAAAATAGAACTCAATAGGGTTTCAATATTTTTTCATGAATTTTTCAGAATCAACGTAGAATCGCCTCATGACCTTAAGTTTTGTATTAGAATTTTGAGTTAGGCCTTTAAAAAAATTTGGCGGCCAAATTCTGAAATTTGCCGGGCATTTTTCAGAATTTGGCCTACACATCAAAAACCTACATTTTGATATATTTTAATATCCCTACAATTAGTAGATTTATATTCTTCGTTAAGATTTACAAGATAAGCCATTTGTTAGTCCCCTGAACTCATACACGAATTTACATCCAGTTTGGACAAAAAATGGCCGTGTTATGAGCCAAAAACTATATACCATATTTGGAAACACAAACAAAATGTGATAGCTTTTGGCCCCGAAAATGATTCAATTTCAATATTTTTGTATGAGACTTTAACTTTAGATCATAGACTAGAATCCCGACTGCATGACCCTGTCACAACTTAACCATGTAATCACCATGTTATAACCAAAATTACGTAATCATGACCTACCCCCCCCCCCCCCTCCCCTTTTTTTGACTTTTTCCCTGGAAAACACTTTTCTCTACGTTTCATTATGAGTGTAATCATTAACCCCCGCCCCCCCCCCCCCCCCCCCCCCCCCCCTCCGCTGATTACGTAATATCTGAACGCCCCCTAAATAAAAAATAACAAAAATAAAATATTAATCGATGCAATTTCGAATTGCACAGAAACTGGCTTACCACATGTGTAGTCATGTATAATTGGCAAAGAAAAATTACGCTTTTTATTGTCAAAGATTACAAATCTGAGCCAGGTGTGTTCATTACCAGGTTTGTCAGCTGCAAATAATTTGCTACAGAGACCTTTAATTAAGTGAGACTTCATGAAATATACTACTTGTATTGTTACTGTATTAGTATATGTACTAGTGTAACCCGGCCTTCGGCCGGGATTTCACTGCCGCAGTTAAAAAGGGTAGGAGTAAATACCCGCTGAGTCAAAACCCGCATTAGGTGGCCACATAGTATCTTAACCAATAATTTTATAATCAGTTCTTTCTTGTGGATAATTAAGTCATAATTAGGCACCACATTCCATGATCATAAGGTCCGAACACCGACTATTACACCTCATTACTCCCGTCTTGAACTGCTTTCCATTTGTATTTAAATCGTTTTAGAAATTAACCCTTGTTGACTCCGCACCACACCCACCTATTATATTTGAAAACACGCATAACATTTTCGTATGAAAGTATGAACCCTCTCTGCAGTCCAAACAGACCCCAAACACTAACAGTGCCCCCTCCCTAATAAGCTTACGGTATAAAATTACAACGAATCTTTCCGGGCTAACTCAATTATGCAGCTACATATACAGTAATGGGAAAGAGAGCGAGACCCGTAACTATTGCTATTCTGCTCAAGCCATTTTATGTAACATTTGTGGTACAAAACCATCAATTAAACCACTTACCACCTACCGATTAAAAAACCCTTAACCATTTGTGATTTGTCTTGGTCAGAGTTTTGTCGGCACTATACCGAAAAAACCAGCCCCGTAACTCTTACCGTTTTCTTGATTAAGCCGCTCAGAAATTACACACGCACGCACGCACACACACACAGAAAACACACATCTTGAAAATATTATTATAGATATTTGTGATGGGAACAAAATCAAATATATTATGGCACTAATGCCTATTCTGCTGTTAGGAGAGAAATCATTGAATCGATTTAATGATTGAATTTAAAAGGCAATTTGAGCAGGTGCTTGTTTACGGGCCGCGCTCAGCCTGTCTTTATTCGGCGGAATCTTTATTCGGCGGAATCTTTATTATATGTAGTATGTACCCTTAAGATCGAATGGCTGCTGAAAAAAGATTTGTTGCCAGTAGGAAGTTTACCATCTTTATAAAAATAATTCACAAATCCTGGCATTACGGCTCTAATACCTTTCTTTTGTTGGTTTTGGACGTGAAGCCCCAGACCAAGGAGCAATAGTTTAGGTGTGACTGAATAAAACTGTGGTAGATTTGAATTCTAACTTCTAAGGGAATGTATGATTTAATTTTGTACAGTATGCCAACATAACGGGCCGTTTTACACTTTAAAGCTTTTAAGTGAGATGACCAACTTAATTTTTCATCAAGAATCACACCTAAGAAATTAGCTTCGCTCAAGCGCAAAATATTGACGTTGTTTATGATAATTGGGGAAAGATTAGGTACCTTCTGCCGGGAAAATATCATATAATTAGTTTTTTTGAGATTAATAATTAATCTATTGACATCAACCCATTTTACCAAAGATTGGGACAGTACATTTAGTTGATCTTCAAATTCATATATGTTGTTACCGGATATGATAATATTGGCATCATCTGAATATAAAATGAACTTTGCCAGTGTGCTTATGCCAGGTAAGTCATTAATGTATAGGACAAAGAGTAGAGGACCTAGGATGCTGCCTTGCGGTACTCTATACTTCATATCCCTGCACGAGGAGTCAGCACCATTAATACTAACATATTGTTTTCTATTTGTAAGGTATGACTTAAACCATTTATTAGCAATACCTCTTATACCGTAATGATTAAGCTTGTTTAGAAGTATATCGTGATCTACCATATCGAAGGCCTTAGAAAAGTCGATGAGGAGGAGAAGAGAAATTTGCTTTTTATGCAATGAGTAAATAGGGGTGTATTGAGCATCCAAAAGTGCATGTTCACAAGATCTACCGGCCCTAAATCCATACTGTCGTTCGTATAAACTTGAATTTTGATTCAAGAATTCATCCTGTAGATCCTGTTTTAAAGGTATATTGGGGCACGAAGTGAGGTGTCGAGGACTGTTGTACTTGAATACAATTACAAGATCTAGACCTATCAGAAATACAATGGTGGCATTTTTTATAGAAATGGCTATGGGCTTCGAGACAATACCAGCTGAAATTAAAACAGGCAGGCAAAAAAATCTTTGATTCTTTAATCCTCATCAAAACTGTTATGGTTTAAAAAGACGAGAGAAAAAGAACAGAATACGAGGTCAGAAGAAATAATTTCACTACTGGGTAACAATATCAGACCAGACTAAGAAGTCACGGACTTACTGGTCTGTGTGTTGGTATTTATAGACATGCAGCCCTAGAGCGAATCAGAATGCAGGATCGATATCACGTGACCATGGGCAAGCCAATACGTGTTGTACGAACAATGTTGGCTTTGTTTAGGGTTAAGGTTAGGTACTACATAGATTATTTTTAACAAAAGGTGGTAAATTTCCTAAAAGGAATAAGAACGATCATGCCCAACCTGTCCGTTAGATAAACGTGATATAACAGATGCTGATAATAATAGATACAGAAATTAGTTGACCATCGAAATCATTTTGACGAAACATTTTGATAAGAAGTAATGATTGGAACAAATCGTCGAATTGAATTTGATTGTTCTGGAAAGCCAATCAAATTCAAAATCATAATGACGTGTTCAAAGCTATCTATTATTGTAAAATTAGTTGACCATCAATAATTTTGACCCTGGACTCCGTGTCTGGCTTGTCTGGCTTGTTGATTAAATTACTGTATCAGACATTACATCTTTAGATAGTATTTTAACTGAGCATTTTTCTTGTTCAGCGTCCTCGAAAACATAGGGTTACAAGGTTTTCGCTTCGATTTTCATCAATAAAAAATCCTTCTATTTTCGATTCTCTGGGCCAGCTGTCTGCTGGGTTTCAGAAGGTGGTACCAGATGCTGCTATAATTGAGCGCTCAGCTCCTATAATTGGATCCAATTACACGCGATACACTATATTAGCTATATTATTCCATATAAGGCCTGATCAAGTAGCTTGAGCTCTGGTGACGTCACAAAATATCCTAGTCGGCATACGACACGTTACGAATGTGATCACGTGCCCGAGGATTTACGAATCAAGGTCACGTGATAGGTTTAGCGGTCACGTGATAGGACCGACTGTCAGGTGACCTCAGTTATCCCTTCTATGGCACGAGTAGCTGCAATTGATCAGGTCTTAATTGGGCTGCAATCCTTGACAGGCCTATACTTACCCAATTTTAAATGAACGATATCTCATTCTACAGAATGATGAGAGTGTAAAGATAATGCTTCCCGGAATCAGCACAATGAAGGGTACAAGATGCTGTTGGAATTTCAATTATTCATCTTCCGCCCAGAGTCCCTACAACCCTGTGTTGTCAGAAATCGTATAAATCGAAGTGCACACTCAACTACTCCCTGCTACTAAAGTACCTATATGTGTAAAACTGATTACGGAGGCGGGAGGGTCAAAAATTGTCCAAAAAGTGATTACTTAATATGTTAACGGTCCCCACTCCCCAAGGACCTGAATCCTTGTGGTGATGTGCCATTTTAGGCACATCGCCATTGATTTTATTATTTTACTAGAAAAATGGTATATAATATGTATTATGTACCATGGCATGGGCTGTACATCAATATTCAACAATCAGTACATACATTACTTATCAGTGTTGACATTATCAATAAGTTAATTAATTTATGATAAGTTAAATACATTAAAACTCATTATACAAACTAATAATCAGTCATAATTACATAACTAATAATAACATTATTTCCAGGAGTCAATACTACGCTCGGAGGACGTGCCGTTACCGACAGTTTGTTACGCTAAGTTTGGAGCTCTCGGTTCCCTGGAGTCAGTAGTTAGCGGGGACCATCCTAACGAGAACAACATTCATGTTAGTTATATTAGTAATATTAGTGATATTAGTAATATTAGTGATATTAGTTATATTAGTAATATTAGTAATATTACAACTGTTTGTGCACACACTTCTTTCAAAATGTTTCACATTTCTTTCAAAATGTTTCATATTTCTTTCAAAATGTTTCATAATCTTTCTTCAAAATTTCATTCTTTGTTAAATTTGCGACTAATGTTTTGAATTAGATATCAGTCCTGTTGGACAGCGTTAAACTAAAAAAAGGCCCGACCTTTTCAATTTGTTTAGACCATAGAAAATATTTGTAACTAATTATTATATAGTTGCTAAGGAACCATTCGTGAGCCTTTTTTACGCAATTAGCTATTGTATAGAAATTTCGCTAGAAGGTTAATTTTTCCCGAACCCCTTCCTTAAAGCTGGCTGATGTGAAATGTGAACGATCCCTTAATAAATTAGAAGCGGAGTTATTTTGATTTTAAAGTCGCGAAAGCGCTAAAAAAGGGCGTGGTCAATTGCGCAAAACTGCCCCATATTCAGAAAGTCTACCCGAGCCAAATTTGATCCTGAAGGGGCCCTTGAGCCGTTCCTCAAACCTCGGGTGGAAGACTTTTCTACGGGAATATTCTCAGATCCTTGATTATAAGAGGGTGTACAGCCTTAACATCCCTTTCTTCAGGTGTCTATGAATGGAATCGACCTGCTAGGCCCCAAGGTGTCAGTTGAAGATTCTGTGATGGTCCTCAGCAAATTGAGCCTCATCATCAACGATGGTAACTAGTTTAATCATTGTAAAACGCAAGGAAATATTCTGTTTTCTTTAACTGGACATTTATTGTGGCACTACAAGTTGAATTGTGGGTGCGTATGGTTTCCTTTAATTGTCTCTTGTTTCAGCGTTGCTGCAGAAGTCCTTTTCCTCGACGCCCTCTAAACCACTAAAACCTATGTCACGTGATACACCCCCTATGTCACGTGATACACCCCCTATGTCTCCTCTATCATTTGAAAACAAAGCTGCTTCTGTTAGAATCACTAATGGCACTAATGGTAATATTAATATATTTTATATATATAAAGCGAGACGATTATATATATAATTAAATAGGAAATAATTATTTTAGTCTCTTGAGTTTTGTCACCACTTTAGACGGGTTCCTGCTAGTATTAATAATGGCCCATCTTGGTTTTATAACCTGCAATGTTGCAGTCCACATATCCAATAGCAATGCCCACTAATATCACTGATATTAGTACTATAAAACCCGCGCGTAACTAATCGAAAATCCTCAGGTTTATCAAAAGAGAACATCACTCCAAGTTCACTGAACGATACAGCCATGACCAGTTCGGAGAAGGACGTTATGAAGGAGTTTGAGGATACCGTAAACGATATCATGATCCAAGGTAGGACATATCACCTGGCAGAAAACATTTCCTTGTGTTTCACCTGCCAGAAAACCTTTTCTTGTGTTTCTGGTCAGACCTGTATGTGCTTCTACAATCTATAATCTATACTTCTAAAAGCACTGTTTATCTGCTCGTTGTTGTAATATGCTGCATGCTAATTCTGCTAATTAGTACTGTTTACTGCTAATTAGCTGCTAATTCTGCTAATTAGTTCTGTTTACCGCTAATTAGCTGCTAATTACCGCTAAAATGCTTGTACCTTTCTTATCTGCTGCATGTTCTTCTTATCTTGTTTTTCAGAAAACCTTATTCCTCCTCCCCGCAAAATTATTTACCTGGAGGGAAAAGAACGTCGACTCACCTCTAACTTAGAAGCTATCGCTGAAATTGAACAAGTAGCTGCGAATAAAGGTTCCCTTCCATCCGATCTTGGTCCGCTTTCAAGTGAGAAAGAGTCTTCAAAAATAGGCACTAAAACCCTTCAGTCTAAATGTGAGATGAAACAAAACTTGGAAAAAGAAACTGCAGAGGTGGATAATGGAAAAGACAACTCTAAAAAAGACTTGACAAACAAAGCTTCAGCAAACTCCAATGTCCATAAAAATCCAAAAGAGAGTCCTAAACCGAGTCCGAAGTCGAGTCCATTGCCTCCGCAGAGGACCCTGGCACCTGTCTTGAAGCTTCCTACTCAGAATAAGACCAAGGTCACCAGCAGGATACCTGTTCCACGTAAAATTACCCCTCCAGGTAAACTTGCACATATTCATAATTAATTTTAGCATAATTATTACTTATTAAGTAATTTAGAAGGACTAATTTTTCGTATTTATTCGGATATTTGATCGGTGAATTATAGAGCTTCTAAATTAATTCCGATCTGAAAACCGATGGGTTTATCCAATCTGAAAGTGAAATAGGTTAAGGGGTCCAATTTAGGAGGATTTAACTACATGTCTGCTTTCAATTCATATATTTTCAATAACCATGGCCTGACTAACCGCTAAGGTTGAAAAACTGTATTTGTTATCCAGCAGTGGTCCACACAGTTGTGCATTGCTCATTGATTATTTTGTGCTGCTCTAACCTTTGTGGTGATAATTTAAGAAATCTATACCGAATAACAATACGTCTAAGGATTTAATTAAAAACGGAACGTTATTCAAATTCCCTTATGTAAAGATGTAAAGCCCCACTATTTTTTGCCCCACTATTTTTTGCCCCACTATTTTTTGCCCCACTATTTTTTGCCCCACTATTTTGAACTGTCCCTAGAGCGTGGTGTACGAAGCTTGGCAGCGTTCCCATTTCGTGTGCTACTCCAGCTCCTTATGTCCTTCTTATATGGTATCTGATCACGTGATCATATCACGTGATCGCGTGACTTGTGATCAATTTCATTGCAGCATTATATCACTGCTAGAACAGTGGTGATGTGTGATTAGATTACAGCCATAGCATTATCTTCAGTAGTTTTGTAAGGTAAAAACCGCGTTTTATTCATTTAATATCTTTCTGTTTTCTTTATCTCACTGCTGAGTTAAGTTACAATATTTTTATCTCCGATACAAATTAGTCCATTAATAATGATTAAAGATAATCTGCGCTCTTCAATTATACAGAATTTATTTATTGTTTTGTATCCTATCTAATTCAGCATGAAATAGCAAGAGCAATAATTTCAACTTATATAAACAAATATATTAAATACAGTTGCAAGTTAGGGCGAAGTTAACTAGTATCGAGAAGTGATTGTACTTAATGAAGTAATGATCTAATTAATTAATTGGCTGAGTAAAATCATTGTGTCATCATTTGTCATCGATGACCCCTGTTTTTGCTAAAAATTATCGCTTGCTATCTTCTCTTATCTCCCTTTGAATATTATCTCTCTTCTTCTTATCTCATTTCACTATTTACTATAGATAATTCTCGATTAACAATCCAGTTAAATTATCATTTGATAATAATTATCAAACAATCATTATTTAAGATTTATAACATTCCACAGAGCCCACTAGTGTTAAAACCGAACATTATGTATATATACATAATATACATAATATTATGTATATATATACATAATAAACATAATATAATAATGAATATTATGTATATTATATACATAATATTATGTTATTTATAACATTCCACAGAGCCCACTAGTGTTAAAACCGAATCTCCCGTCACATCTCTACCTGATCTCACAGTGGAAGCCACGCCCACAACTAGCCTTGTTACTGTTGTCAAGGAGGAAGAACAGGAAGAGACAGAGGAACAGGAGGAGGTAAAGGAGGAGGTAGTAGAGGAAAAGGGAGAAGATGAACTTGGTTAGTGGGCATTAATATTCCTGAGCAAAGTCTTGTAGATTTACATGCTAAAACTTGTCGGTACGCTGCTCAATTGATTACATAGTCGCACATTAATTGAACGCTAGAGGCCCTAGCTTTAATTTTAATGACCGTTCAAATAAAGTCCGACATGGTAGTTAAATTAAATATATTAAATGAATGCCTTTGGGCGTCCATTTTAATGTCCGTTCAAAATTATGTCCGTTCACGCAATGTCCGGTCAAATAACTTCCGATAAGGTTATCATATAGGGACTAGTAAAGTGAATTGAAAGCAGCAGTTCAGATTTGTGATTACTGAGAACAACATCCCCTTCTCGTATTCTTAATTATCCTAACCACTTCTGCTCATGAATATTCAGCTGTTGCGCGGCTCAGTTAAACCCTGTTTTATCACGTGTGCTCCTTCATAATCCTTGATGAAATGATAAATCGTCATCCCTTAGATTTTGGCAAGATAGAAGAGGAAGAAGAAGGAGTGGAAGATGAGTGGGAGAGTGAGGGTAGCTGGGAGACAGAGGATGACAACACGGTAATTATCTTATTAATTAAATTGATTAGTCGATTAAGTAATTATTCGATTACTTAATTTAACGATTGATATGCCAATGAGATTGATCGATAAATACTATTTAGTACTACTGAAAAAGCGAAACGTTGTTTGAGCAAGTGACAGAGATCAACCAATCACTGTTGAGCATTGGTTATATAAATTATAATTTTGGTTTGTTTGTAAGGGAACTGCAGCTTCAAACAGGACTTTAACTTTAAATTCTAACTTTATCTTAGAAATAGTAGGTTGTTGCACGTGACCAAACCTGCCGCAATGTAGGAGTCAGACCGTGATAATCACGTGATCCGACAAGCCATAATATAAGATGATTTGTATCACCTTAGGTACTTATAGTTCTCCGTAATCAAGGGCACATAATTAGTCACATTCGGAATGAGATTTAATTGAAGTGGTCTTCCTTTCTAGAGTACATTGTACGCATGCCCAGGTCGATAGGGCTCGATACATGAGAGTACATATTTTTTGCTGCTAGAATAATATATACTATGCATTATGCAATTGTTCAAAAAAGTCTCCAAGTCTTCAAAATGTTATTTTGTGCATCAATTCAAATTGTTGATGAGGAAATTTTTTAATGTTTATATACAATTAACAATTATTATATACAATTAACAGTCGTTCACAAATAATTCACACAAGTGAATTGTCCGTCCAGTCATTCGTAAATTATTCAATTTACTGTCCATGGTGGGGTGGGCCATGGTGGCCGTGGGGTGGGCCATGGTGGGGTGGGCCATGGTGAGGTCCGCCGTGAGGTCCACCGTGAGGTCCACCATGAGGTCCACCGTGAGGTCCACCATGAGGTCCACCATGAGGTCCACCGTGAGGTCCACCATGAGGTCCACCATGAGGTCCACCATGAGGTCCACCGTGAGGTCCGCCATGAGGTCCACCGTGAGGTCCGCCATGAGGTCCACCATGAGGTCCACCGTGAGGTCCACCATGAGGTCCACCATGAGGTCCGCCATGAGGTCCACCGTGAGGTCCGCCATGAGGTCCACCGTGAGGTCCGCCATGAGGTCCGCCATGAGGTCCACCGTGAGGTCCGCCATGAGGTCCACCATGAGGTCCGCCATGAGGTCCACCGTGAGGTCCGCCATGAGGTCCACCATGAGGTCCACCGTGAGGTCCGCCATGAGGTCCGCCATGAGGTCCACCGTGAGGTCCACCGTGAGGTCCACCGTGAGGTCCGCCATGTCCATGTCCGCCATGTCCAGCTGCCTTTCTTGCCGCTGCCTTCTTAGCTGCAGCTGCCTTCTTTGCTGCAGCTGCCTTTTTCGCTGCTGCCGCCTTTTTCGCTGCCGCCGCCTTTACTGCGGCCTGGTATTTAGCATACAGTTTCTGGTTAGCGACCATCCGGCTGTTAGCCTGGGTGTACCTGGTATTATAACTATAGTACGACTTGTTAGCGTTGTTGTACGAAGTGACAGACTTCTTGTACGCGCTGTACCGTGCCAGGTACACTGCCCTGCTCTTTCTCTGCTGGACTCGTTGGGCCCTGATTTGCTTGTTGTAAGCTTTCACCTGTCTGTTGTAAGCCTTAATGGTGTTCATACAGGAGGTGCTTTTAGCCTTCATAGCCTTTAGAGCCTTGAGTGACTTGGCGGATGCTGCTGCTTGCCTTTTGTTGGATGATATGTACTTCGTCCTATATGAGGTAAATTGTGCCTTTGATGTACTCATCTTCTTGAACGCCGCTCCCTTCCTGGCTTTGTACGCTTTCCTCTTGGCTGAGTACGCTGCTACTTGCTTCTTGTACTTGGAGACATTGGTCCGGTATTTATTCTCTTCCTCTGCAACAATTACCTGAAGCAGGAGGACCGCAGCGATGACAAACAGTATGATCTTCATTTTGTAGCAAACAAATTAACAATTCAAGTGAATAATGGACTTTGGAGGAGTTAGGACGGTTCTTATAGTTCAAAGTCTCCAGATAAGTAAAGTCTCCAGTTGGGGGTAGTTATTAATAAACTCAGGTGTTTTAACAGGATGAGCTCAATTGAGACTTGGTATTTTGAGCTGGTAGTGGTACAATGTACACAATGTATACAATATACAATGTACACGTGTAATGTTCTGCCTTCTCTTCCCAGTTCCTGGCTTTCTTTCCGGTACTTATAATAGCCAAGCGTTCCCAGCTGCCTGCTCGAGCGGATCCCGAATTTATTATAAAGATTCGATTCTTCAAATATTTCCCGTTAGATGAGTTTCCTGGTACGCTAAAGTACGGACTAATGTACGCTCCGTACTACGGAGCGTACCCACTTTTGAAAGATAAACTTTCTAGTGAGCATCGTATGATTGCACTCGGTTAGTTGATAATATTTAATACAAGAAAACGCCTCTCTTGAAGTATATACTCATAACCCTAGACTCACTTTGAGCGAGTCAAAATTCAGTATTTATATTTTATAAACTGATTCAGACTCATGAATTGGCTTCTGTAAGTTTCGGCTTACTGGGTTAACTTTGTCGACTCAGCGGCTCAAACGTTCGGATTACTGGATCTAAGGCTTGACTCACTGAATCTCAAGTCTCACATTCCTTCACATACTCACGGATTAGGGTCGAGACTCACGTAATATAATGCCTCTTCATGGTAGGTATAGTATTAGTAATATCATCAATATTATTACTATGTTGTAACAACACCAACCCCAATAGTTGGCTTCGAGTTTCCTAGCTAGGTTATATAATCAGCAGCACATTTATTTAAATGTACAATTTATCTCCTATTAGGCTCATGGTAGTCGGGTGCCGCGCGGACTTATCGCTCGGTCGATCGAGCGATAAGTAGCTCCTTATCGCTCGTGCGCGTCGTCACTTCAAGCACAATTGCGCGTCGTATCGTACTCGATGCTTGCCAAAGAGCTTTAATACTTTGGTTTTGGCGTGTTACATCTGAACAGAAGATGAATCCGAGATTGTGGAACCAGATGATACGGTTTTTGAGGCATTTTGATACGGTCATTTCAGTCTTTAAAAGTAGTTTCAGAGTGCTGGAAATGGTTGTACGGTGTAGGGGGATGTGTTTACTAACTATTTTGACGTCAAAATTGTCGCCAGAGGCTCCCTGAGTCATGGAATGAACGGAATGAACAAAAATGAAATTTTTTCTAAAACTCGTCGGATTGCCCCAAAACAGGTCGGAATCGTTTGGTATTGACCCTAATAGTGTTCCCACAAAGTTTGGTGGCCCTAGCACTCCCAGAACACCCATTATACCCTTGGCTGGATTCAAGAATTTAGAACCAGTTGAGAAGATAAAACGGATTTTGAGAAATTTTGTCTGCTTGTGTTGTTGCAGAGAGTTGAATTTGGTTCAACAGTATTCAAACAAGATGTGTTCCAACTTAGTTTTGTAGCCCTACCAGTTTCAGAACGTCCACTAGAATCCGGTTCCATTTTCTTCCAAGAAGCTGTAGACAAGGTTGTTTGAAATTTAAATTTAACCTCTCTGGTAATACAACTTTTTACTTGGATGGATTTCAATAATTATTAATTAAAGAGAGCAGATTGTTACTTTGTTATTTTTGAGATTTGATTTTTTGATATCATATGTGTAGGCCTTACACTGTGCTTTCAGCAATACTCATACTCATATGTATAAATGTATAAATCAGTTTCTACAAATTGTAACAGCAATTGGCAGTAATAAAGCGGTAGTAATAGTTTTGCACAACATCAATCATAATATCATTCAATACTTCAATACCTTCAAAATAATTTAACTCTGTTATAATAATTTAAACGCAGATCTAAAAGAACTAAGCACAGTAGTAGGATGAACTTCCAGGCAAGGTTGGAGGAAGGTAGAGGTGAAGCTGTGGGTAAGGATTAATAGTAGGCTGGGAAGGATCCATTTCTGATCCAGAGCTGATGATTTGGGTTGAACTGATGATTTAGGTGGTACAGATGATTTGGGTTGAACTCATTAGTCGAAATACACTCTCATTAGTCGAAATACACTCTTTCATTAGTCGAAATACACTCTCACTGCCGTCATTAGTCGAAATACACTCTCACTGCCGTTTTAAAATTGTTAGCTCTCGTTATCGCACTGCTTATCTCTTTATAATTGCACCGCTACTGCGCTGCTAGCTTGTTGTGCTGATCTTTACGATGGCAGATTTGGACTTGGAAAGTATCAATTACATGTGGAATGAGATGTTCACCTGGAGCAAAGAGACTCTGAAGAAATTTGGCAAGCCGTACGGAAAGTTAAAGGACATTGCGGACGCTAAGAACTTCAACAGACTGAATAAGCCGGAGATTGTCGATGTGTGTGGTCGATCTTTTGAGTATACGAACTATCTTATGGAGACCGTTGAAGCGTATAAGAATGTGTTGACCAGACTTCAGGGTCAGTTAATTGAGAAGCAAGAGCAGGTGATCAGTGTTCAGGCCGAGCTATCAGCTTGCAAGACTGAGCAACTTGAAGCGATGAAGAAAACTGTGTCAAGTTCAGTTGCTGATTCAGTGAAAGCGGAGTTCCAATCTTACAGCTCTATCGTTCAAAGTTTTCCAGCACAGTCTCCAGTAATCAGCCCGGAAGCATTGACGTCTGTAGTCAAGACTATTGTTGCAGAGGAGGACCGCAGCAGGAACCTTCTTATCTTCGGTCTGCCTGAGGAAAAAGAAGAGAAGCTCGAATCTCAAGTCAGTGAAGTTCTGGAAACTATTGGCATAAAGCCAAAAGTAGAGGCTCAGAGAATAGGAAAAAGGAAAACGGTTGACTCAACGCGACCAGTTAAAGTTATCACCTCAAACTCGCTCATCGTTGATCAGATTCTGAGGAATGCCAGGAACCTGCGGCAGAGTGAGAAGTTTAAGACAGTTTTCTTGAGCCCTGATCGGTCTGTCGAACAGAGGAAGCTCCGGAAAGATCTGGTACAGGACATGAAGAAGCGGGCACTTGCAGAACCGACCAAAAAGTTTTACATAAAGGACGGGCAAAT